AACAACTGATATTCACAATTTCATTTTCGTTTTTGTTGTTTTAATAAGCAACTAGAGAAACGTGAATAAGATCTGCATTTTCAGTTCCCAAGAAGTTTCCTATGTGGCTAAATCTTATCTTTTATTGTCCAAGGAAAAGTACCTCCCCAAACTCTACAAGCAAAAAGCACAGCATTTTCAACCTGTATGAACAAGAGTAAACTGTTATCCAAGGGTTATGTAAACCAGCAGTAATCTCTCCCTATCCTTTACCTCAGTTCAAAATTCTGACCATACATGGCTGAGGATATAAAGCCGATTCAAACCATGGGGTCAAGCTGCTTTCTCCGTTATGATTGCTTGTTCCTCAAAAAAGGAGCTATTCTAAATGGGTCATGAAGGAAATGATCACACTGAAAGAAAACTACCTGCTCCTGCCTCACACATGTGCCTGGTGCTACCTCTAGGTTTAATCATGGTCTCTCAGAAATCCTTACACCACTGAAGATATTACACTAACTCACTATCAGTCAAGTATATGGACAACTGTGATAATCCCCTGTCTCTAGCCATGGAAAGCAAACCAACCCATTAACAGAAGAATTTGTAGCCTTTTTTTTTTTTTTTTTTGGCATAGTACTGATTATTAAACAGAAGATACTAGAAAGAATCCATTTCTTGGCTTAAGATTCTTAACTACTGTTATTTTTCTTTCCTAATCACCTTTTGGGACCAAACCACTTCAACATCTCATTTTTTTATCCCCACTAGTGAACATCCCCTACAACCTTCCTGTGAAACTAAGGAAAAAAATAAGGTGTTAAGGTATTAAGCCTAAATAAGTAACATGGACAATTCCTCTCAAATCATTAGTGGACGATAATAAAAGCCAAAATGGACTATGTTTTTCCAGAAAAATTAACTGAAAGGCCTCAAAATTCTTCTAAACAAATTAAAAAAAAAATACTGTATTAAAATGCAACACAGCTTAATTATTTTTATACTATTGCATATTACCAGTCAGTATTAACAACCTTCTTAAAGTGCCTTCATATCCATGCACAAAACTACAGGCTACCACCTTCAGGTAATGCTAAGATTAGAGGACAAGCAAAACCCACCAAGTAATTACCAGGTTGATTCTTCATGTGCCATTTTTATTCAAGGGCATGGCACAAGTAATGCTGCTCACATCCTGTGGTTCCACCAACGATACTAATGAGGTGAATCAAGTACAGAAGACGCAGCAAGAACAAGTGATTTTTAGTTTTAAGTGGGAAATTCCTGGTCTGTATTAAGCCACAGAGGATATCAAATAGATACTTGCAAGGAGTTATTCATGAGGGTGAGGGAGGGATGAGGATTCTAAACCAGTGACGAAAAAATCAATGCTTTTAATTTACTGGCAGGAAAGGTATAGTTGAAGGGATCTAATAAAACGAATTTCCTAGCCAACTACATTTTAAGGGCAAAGAAGGGAGAAAAAGGGCAGTAACATTGATGGACTATTTACATGTACCAGAAACTATGCACAGGACTTTAATATGTGATTTAACTGACCATTAACCAAATCTCCAGTGAGATTCACAGCTTTTAAGAACTATGGTATAAGACAATCTATAAGACTAACATGGAAAGGTTGTAGCATATTAATATTTTGGTATTATATATTCCTCTATCACTAAAGAGGTAGGTTTTAACCTCAATCATTCCTCTTTGCCATTACAAATAGAGGTGACAAATTAGAGTATCAAACAAACTACTGTATTTAATTTACATGTCAAGAATTAGATCCTACCACTTATGCCAAATCAGGTACTTTAATGTGTTTATAAAATCATTACAACGAAAAGTAAAAGAAATGGATAATGTCCAGCATTTTGACTTATAGAAAACTTGCCCTGATCTGCAACTTCTGAAGGGAAAATATTGTCACCATTGCTAATCTCACTTGAAGCTTTCACAGATTTTTTTGTTCCAAAAGGGAAGAAAAGCGAAATTAAATTTTGAATAAAGTTCATAAAAAATGTAAAACATTTCTATTTTTCTTTTCAGTTCCCTCAACCCAAACAGAAACAGCTTCCTACAAGGTCTTAAGTCCATGTGTACATTACTGAATCATGACGGCCACAATGTAATTTTACAGGGTTATAATCACAACAGGCAACTTACATTCAGCAGTTTGTGTCACCTACAATATAATCTAAAAGACAGAAAGAAGTATTTACCAAATTACCTGCTACTGCTGTTATTCTTTTTGGATTTGTTCCTCCGTTTTAAGGCATCTCTGTCCTTGTTATTGTATGGTAACATGGAGGCATAACCATGTTCAGCTTCTAGAAAACAGGAGGATCCAGTTAATGAATGGGCCCAGAATATTTAATACTCTCTCCTCTCTACAGTATTTCCTTTTTCCTTTATTTATTTTTAAAAGAATATTGTGGAAATAATTAAATGGAGTAAGGTGGAATTCTGAGAACAATGATTTAAAAAAAAAAAAAAACAACATTGTGTGAATACCCTCAGTTCGGAGCAGGTGTAAAGAAGATTCCAGCTGCTCATTGTTGAGAAAGACACAGTAGTGGCTAAGCTCACGCAGCCTGGGTTTCCCACTGGCAACGTCCAGCAGGTTGGTGCGGGTTAAGTGGAACCAGCCTCAGGTGAAGGTGCGGGGCAAGCACCGTGAGGCGCTGCTCCTCTGCCCAGGAGACTGGGGCGCTGGACCCACCTGGGGGCCGGCCGGGACCAGCCCGGGTGAGGTAAACCAGAGAGGCTATCGGAGGGGGCCCCGGCCACCCACTCGGGAGAGACTGGGGAAGGGGCGGCGTTCGGGACCCCGGCGGGCGATAGCCCCTTCTCCACCTGATTCATTGCTCTGGGGCAGCGTCGGCCTCCCTTCGGACCGCGCGTGGGGAGAGCCGGAGGGGTTGGGAGCGCTCGCGGTCTCCCTGCCTCCAACCACCCCCGGAGCGGCTGGGCGCCCGTACCTGAGGCCAGCCCCACAGGACCCCCGGCCTCGGTTCGAGTGGACCCCTTCCCGTCCCCGTGCACCTCTCTCCCGCCGCTCCAGATAGTCGGCCGCCTCCAGCAGCATCTGGATGTTCATCCGAACCGCCGCCGCCATTCTGCACCGGGGGCCGGAGCCACGGGACCAACCCCCACTGCCCACGGGCTCGCTGCCGCCGCCGGACCGCTATGGAGCCCGCTGTGGACACCGCGGAGCAGGGCTGAGGGAGCCTCTCTGGCAACCACGCTCGACAAGAGAGGGAGGGGGGCCAGTGAGCTGGGCACCGCCGACACCGTGACAGAACCCGGAGCAGAGCAGCAGCCGCCACCGCCGCGGAGTGTTTATCCCCGACTCACCATCTCCCCGCCCCCAGCCCCTTCTCTTGACAGGCCAGCTTCGGCCGCGTTGCTCATTGGGCCCACCAAAGAATGCCCCGCCCCCAAACTTGTGCGATTGGGAGAGGGCTTCACGGCTCCACCCCCCAAAGTCCGCTCCTCTCGCTGGTTGGTCACGCTTGACAAGGCCCGGGCTCCACCCCCTCTTTCCAATTGGTGACAGGATTCGCAACTCCGCCTCGTGCTCCTTCCTTGTTTCCCATTGGTTCTATACCAACAACCCGGGCCCCCTTTTGCTTTGTTAGTATTGGCCAAGAGCTGTAGCAGGCAAGCACCTCGCCGGTCTCCCATTGGTGAAGCCTTAGGAAACCTCCCAGCTACGATGATGTCACCTTTCTCCAGTCCAGGCGAGTCCTAAGTGGCTGATGGTCAGCGGCCTGCCTGCTCCTCACCAGGTGTGGCATTGGCTGGGAGGGCCGGTCCGGCGCTGGGCGGCGCTGATTCACCGGCAGCCGCGGAGCTCGGCTCCACCCGGCCTCGCCTCGGACCTGTTGCCAAGACCTGTCCCCGGGGAAAACTTCCGGGGACCTGCCAGGCGTCCCTCGAATGGAAGGCTGGCACCTCGCGTCGCCTGGGCGCTCTGCGCCGCTTGGGTTCGGGGCCGGAGCCCTGGGTCTGGTGGCCGCGGCCCTGGAGGTTCCGGGCTTCGCGGAACTCCGGCTGGCGAGGGCCCAGCCGCGAATCATCCCGGAGAGCGGTGCAGGATAGTGGCCGGTGAGCCGGGAGCTCGGGCAGGCGCCACGTGGCTGCTGCGGGGCTTGAGAAGAAAAGCCTGGCAGTTGTTAAATGCTTGCCGCCTGGCGTTTTTTCTGCCCTCAAGAAAGAGCTGGAATCGGGCTCCAGTATACAGCATTGAGCTCATGCGCCTTTTCCGCACCCCCCTCCACCCCCGGGAAGTGATGGAATAATTAATTACTTTCACGCGAGTGGGTTTTTAAAGCCGAGATTTCCTGAACCTACAGAATGACATTAAACTCAGATTCTTTGACTTAAGTATCTTTTAGGGTTTTCCCCTCCCTTTTAATTCTAGATGAAGACATTCACAAGATTATTGGGGTTTTTTTGTTTTTTGTTTTGAAAGGGAGTTTTGCTCTTGTCGGCCAGGCTGGAGTGCAATGGCGCAATCTCGGCTCACGGCAACCTCCTTCTCCCGGTTCAAGCGATTCTCCTGCCTCAATCTCCTGAGTAGCTGGGATTACAGGTGCCCACCGCCACGCCCAACTTATTTTTGTATTTTTAGTAGAGACGAGGTTTCACTATGTTGCCCAGGCTGGTCTCGAATTCCTGACCTCAGGTGATCCACCAGCCTCGGCCTCCCAAAGTGCTGGGATTTCAGGCCTGAGCCACCGCGCCTGGCCAAGAATACTCTTTAAGATGTCTGCAAATGGTGTGTTTCCGCATGGGGTGGTACCAATATAAATGCTTAATAGAATGTTATGTATAGAAAACTAAAAAGTTTAAAGATCGTTCCCTAAACCTATCAAAATTTTTGAGATGAAAGCTATATGGCAAACCAAGCTACACTGCCAATGTACTGACAGATATCTCCAATTTTATAAGTAGAAATAAAGTTCTTGGTAGGTTGAGTCCCCAAAATACAAATGAGTAAAGCATGAACATATTTCTTTTTTTTTTTTTAAGTTTATTATTGTTGCCAATATATAATAGCTTACTATGTGTAGGCATCATACGTACATTATCTCTAATCTTCAACATAGCCTCATGAGGTAGGTTGTGTTAATTACATTTTGCAAGTGAAGAAACTGAGGCCCAGGGAGGCTAAATGATTTTCCTTGTCATGCATTCAGCTGCAGACATGGAAACTGAATCTAGGTCTATCTCACCCAGAGCCCAAATTACCAATCCTCCTGTTGGTAGTTGTATAAAGACAAGGTGGTTTAAACAGATTTCCAGACTGAGTCACAAAACACTGACAACTCAAGTACTAAAGAAAAAGAAAGACAAAGGTGTAAATGTAATTATGGTAGGAAATATTAAACATGTATTTTTTAATGGTCCACAAACCCACTAAAATTAAATCAACTCAATAAATAGAATAAACATGTAGTAAATCATGCCTGACATATAGGCATATTCTGGTTTCAGTGGTTAACTGGATCTAAAAACTGATTCTTTAGGAAAATACTAATGAAATACACATACTGTAGGTAAAGGTTTTCAAAGTACAATACAAAGTTGGAAATGAAGGTAGAAATATAACAGTTTTTTTTTCTCCCCATCAGACAGGTAATGTGCCAATGCTGTAACAAGCTCTTTGGGGGGCACGTCTCACACATGAATGGGAACACCTAATTACTATGTTTATGAATACAAAAGGATCTAACAGTTTTTAAAGAGTATTTTTAAATTGCATGTTATTTGTAAAACAAACTTGAAAATCATAAACAAGTGCAATTCTACTAAAATACCCAAAGCGGTAATACTAAAAATGCTTTGATTTCTTTATCCTAACATTTTGGATTTTGTGTATATTTATATTTTCTCTTTGATTTTATTACAAACATTTGGCATATGTCTCTATTCTCTTACTCTCAACTCTTTATTTTAACCAAGTCCTACGTGAGTATCATGACCCTTCCTCTACCATCACCCTGACTGGAAAGTCACACTTATTTTTGTTTTAAAAAGGAGGAAAAAAGGTTGAAATCTGAGCCAGAAACAGCAAATAATTTAAATGCCAACAAGTCTAGCTTAGACTCCAAACAAAAATACTACATTATATAAAAATTAGAGAATCAGACTAAAGAATAGATCATGTTCGTTCCTTGGTGGTGGACGCAATTATCAATTAGCCAGCAACACCAACTAGGAATTAGTATAACGAAGACCTTCAAAGGGTATTTGGTGCCATCTACTGGAAATGAAGTAGTAAGTATAAAGCAAAGGTTTTGAGATTCGGAGTTTCCTAGAAATTATTTTACACAAATGTATGTGATGACCAGTTAATTAAGAAAACCTGAAAGTATAAGTCTTGAAGAAAGAACTGAGAATCCTAAGATAATGAAAAAGTGGTGACTTTCAATACCTAGTGCCTCAAAGGCATGATATAAACATTGACTGACTGCGAGTCACAGCTCCAAACATAGAAGTTGTGAATTCTAGGATGTTTGAACCTGAGTTTTACGACCAGAACTTTAAATAAAAAGCTATGTATAATAGCATAAACATGGGATGACAACAGTTTATATCTCTGAGCATATATCAAGATAAACTAATTGAGATATACCTTGAAAAGGGGGAATTACAAAGACCTAAAATATTAAGACTTGTCAGATAATCTTTACTGCCAAGTAAATCTCTGCCCAGTCTCCTCTGGGGGGCTCATACTCCAGATGGGCACGGGACAGTATATTAAGAGGTAAATGCCAATACTGAACAAGCAGCAGGCTCATCACACAATGTGGAGTTCTTTGCCGGAGATGCCGCTTCAGAGAGCACCCCAGAGTGGCAGGGAAGACAACTGTTACTGTATTATAATCCTGAAGTGCTTAGAAAGTTCTATCACTATGAGAATTAAAGCCCCCTATTTATAACTGAGTTTGATACCTAACTACTATGACATTAAAATAAATTTTGCCTCATAAGGTTTTGAGGAAATGATTTTGTTCCTTGAAGTGTAAATCAGGATTTCAAGTTTCTGCTTCAATAGTATCATCTCTTTCTTTGTGGCTACTTTGGACACACTAATATGATACCTAACATCATAATACTAAATTTTAAAAACCTTTAAAAATGCTGCTTTGCAAAAATTAGTCACTGTACAAATCTGTGATTTAGAAAATGAGGCATTGGCCAAGGACTGTGACTCATGCCTGTAATCCCAGCACTTTGGGAGGCTGAAATGGGAGGATCACTTGAGCTCAGGAGTTTGAGACTAGACTGGACAACATAGTGAGACCTCATCTCTACTCAGAAAATAAATTAGCTGGGTGTGGTGGTGCAGCCTGTAGTCCCAGCTACTTGGGAGGCTGAGGCAGGAGGACTGTTTGAGCCCAGGAAGTTGAGGCTCCAGTGAGCTGTGATCACACCACACAGCACTCCAGCCAGAGCGGTTAAAAAAAAAAAAAGGCAATGGCTAAACTGTCATATGTACATCACACAAAACACTACGCGGCAGCTTTTTAAAAGGTAGACTTACATATACTGGCAAGAAAAGATCCCCAAGGCACAGTGTTGAGTAAATACATTGTAAAATAACCCTTACAGCATTTTCTTTTTAAAGGCCCAAACTATATATTTTCCCAATTTCCTACTCTGTTATATACATAGAGGCATGGACAAAAGATACAAAGCAAAGGATCAGCAATAGGAATGGGCAATATCATTCTGAGTACTGTTTGAAAGGAGTTTAGCTTTGTCACAATGTTTTAAGACTGTTACAAGAAAGAGGCTTGCCACAAATGATATTTCCTAAATGAAAAAAATGTAATATTTAACTTTTCTTCTGTTGAAGCAAGATAAGTGAACTGCATATATCAAAAATAAAATTTTCTTACTTTACAGGAAAGAAGAACTGAGATCCTGTGTTTTGAATGCAAGTTAAATACAAAATAAAGTACTTGGGTAACTAAAGGTAATGAGATGTAAACTGAAGATCAGGGGACTCGGTTAGTGAAAAAAGGTTACAGAACTATATTCACGAATTCAAGACATGCATTGAGTGTTGTACTCTGTGCCAGCCACTGTGTGGTGCGGGGGTGCAAAGCTAACCAGACAGATGCCCCACTTCTCCGAGCTTGCTGTCTAATAGAAGAACCAGACAATAATAAAAGAATATAGAGTATGTCAGGCAGTGATAAATGCGGTGAAGACAAGTAAAGGAGGGTTTGGAGAGCCACATGGAGAAACTGGGACCCTCATATATTGTAAATGGGACTATGAAATAGTGCAGCAGCTTTGAAAGACAGTTTGACAGTGCTTTATGTTTAAGTCAAACATAGTTTCCATATGACTTGGTAATTCCACTCCTAAGCATACTCTCAAGAGAACTGAAAATATGTTCATTCTAAAACTTGTATACAAATGTTCTGGCACCATTTCTTTCTCTCTTTTTTTTTTCTGAGATGGAGTTTCGCTCTGTAGCCCAGGCTGGAGTGCAATGGTGTGATCTCTGCTTACAGCAACCTCTGCCTCCCGGGTTCAAGCAATTCTCCTGCCTCAGCCTCCCAAGTAGCTGGGATTACAGGCACACGCTACCATGTCTGGCTAATTTTTGTATTTTTAGTAGAGATGGAGTTTCACCATGTTGGCCAGGCTGGTCTTGAACTCCTGACCTCAAGTGATCTGCCCACCTCGGCCTCCCAAAGTGCTGGGATTACTGGCGTGAGCCACTGCGCCTGGCCATGGCACCATTATTTCTTAATAGTCACTAAGTGAAAACAACTCACATGCCCATCAACTGATGAATTATAAACCAAAATGTGGTATAAATAGAGAATGGAATATTATTTGGAGACAAAAAAAGTGATGGATGTACCGATACATGCTACAACACAGAGGAACTTTGAAAACACTATGCTAAATGAGAGAAGCCAGACACAAAAGGCTATATATTGTATTATTCCATTTATATGAAATGTTCAGAATAGGTACATCTGTAGAGACAGGAAATACATTAGTGGATTCTAGGGGTGGGGGGGATGAGGAGTGATTATTAATGGATATGAGGTTTCTTTCTGGAGTTATGAAAACATTCTGGAATTAGGAATGATGGATGCGTAACTCTGAGTATATTAAAAACCACTGAATTGTAAACTTTAGAAGGGTAAATTTTACGGTATATAAATTTAATCTCAACTTTTTAAAGGTTAAAAAAAAAAAAGAGTAAAGCAGAGTGGAGAGATAGGGAAGAAAGTTTGCTATTTTGGATACGGTGGTCAGGAATGACCTTAGTTTGAGGAGCGATCTGAACAATGTAAAGAAGCTACTTGTGCAAATCAAGGAGGTGGGGGAACATTTCAGAAGGAAGAAAGAGCAAGTGAGAAGACTGGGAGTAGACACATGCCTGTTTTGAAAGAACAGCAAGGAGGCCGGCCAGTGTATCTCAGTGCAGTGAGCAAGGGAGTGAGGCTGTAGAAAGCCAGGGTCTAGGTCATGTGGAGGCTCTGTAGACCACACTGAGGACTGGACTTCATTCTAAATGATTAAAAAAAAAAAAAATCACTGGAGCCAGGAGAAATATCACTAGTTGCACATTTAATTAATTAATTTAGAGACAAAATCTTGTTCTGTTGCCCAGGCTGGAATGCAGTGGTAAGATCTTGGCTCGCTGCAGCCTCTGCCTCCAGAGTTCAAGCAATTCTCCTGCCCCAGCCTCCCGAGTAGCTGGGATTACAGGTTCATGCCACCATGTCCAGCTAATTTTTGAATATTTAGTAGAGACAGGGTTTCACCACATTGGCCAGACTGGTCTCAAACTCATGACCTCAAGTGATCTGCCGGTCTCAGTCTCACAAAGAGCTGGGATTACAGGCATGAGCCACCGGACCCAGCCTTGATGTACATTTTAAAAGGTTCCTCTCTGATACTGGGTGAAGAATAAACAGCACCAAGAGTGGAAGGAGGGAGACTTGTTAGGAGGCTACTGCAGTAGTCCAGGCAAGAGAGATGGCTTAGGTTAGCATAGGTGGTGAAAAGTGGTCAAATTCAAAATGTACTCTGATGTTAAAGCCAAAAGAATCAGCTAATGAATCAGATGTAAGGCATAAAATAAAGGAGTCAAAGACAACCCCAAGGACCATGGTCTGAGCAAAGGAGTGAATGAAAGGGCCATTTACTGTGATGGGAAAGCCTCAAAAAAGAAGACTGGGCAGAGTTCAGTTCAGTTAATCTTAAATTTGAGGTGCCTAATAGTCTAGCTGCATATATGTGATTATAATTCAGTAAAATGGTCTGACTGGAAGAGTATAAATTTGAGAGCCATGGCAGAAGGTGTTTGAAGCCACACAAATGGACAGTTCACCAAAGAAGAGATTGGAGAGTTCAAGGACTGACCCCTGAAGCACTTATCATTTAGACACTTAGAAAACCTGGCTCAATTTACATCCCCTATGAGGATGAGCCTCTTAGAGGAAGAATACAAGGATGCCGCACTTTGGTTATTCTTCCAGAATTAGATGATCTAATGGATAAAAGTTCCTTCAAACCAAGACTTTTGGGATCAAAGGTATCTTTTCTTGATTTTTCAAAGATTTCCTCTTCCTCTATTTCTTTAGTGTTAGCTCACAGAGAGCAGATCTGTTGACCTACTAGATTCTCTCAGATTATCTATCTGCAAAGTATGCTGCCTTAAGGATTTCGAGTCAAATCTCTAGCAACACAATTTTACAGGTACCAATAAGAAACCATCATAAGATGTATAAGATGTACGTAAACAAAGACTAGGTGCAGAACAGTATGAAGAGTTTGCTTCTATCTTTATGTATAAGACATATATATATAAATATATGGTTGTGCATATGTGGAATATCTCTGAAAGGATATACAATTAATGCATCACTAGATATCCTTTGTATCATCTGAATTGTGTTCCACATTTGTAGTACTTACTCAGAAAAATAAGTTAAAATCTAGCCACACAGCGTCAACTACCAGCAAAGTCTACAACAGAATGGGTGATGGTTATTATCTTCAATATAAAAAGAGTGTTCTTCAAATGAAAAAAAGAAAAGCTTGACAAAAGACAAATATTAATAGATCCAAGATTTAAAATTAGCATGTCACAAAAGAAATATGGCTAATACATTTAAAAAATATTCATCCTCCCTAGAAATGAAACAAAAACACAAAACCAAATAGTACCATTATTTTACCCGTCAGGTAGGAAACTTTAAAACAAATTTTACACTTAATATTTGTACATGTGTCTGAAACAAGAATGCTCATACTTCGCTCATACTTCACTGGATAGAGTTGGTTGTTACCTTCTAGCCAGAGATACCAAACGTCTTAAAACATGTATACATAGCCCTTTTAATCTAACTCAGCAATGCCACGTCTAAGTATGGAGCCTGAGGAAATAATGAAACATACAAAAATATGTATGTAATGGAGATAGAGTAGTCACAGTTTTAATTATAATGGCAAGTCATGGGAGGCAAGCCAATGTTTACCAATAAAACATTAGTTAATAAATTATGATACAACCAAGTAGCTACTAAAAGCTAAGTTTCCAAAGAATATTTAAAAGTACTTTTTAAATGTTCACAGTACATGGGGAAAAAAAGGGTTAAAGAAAGAACTGCATACATATTCTGATCTCATAGATGGGATTAACCCAAAGAAGCCTGGAAAGACATATACCAAAATGTTGAAATTGATTTTTTCTGGGAGTAGATAACAGGTGATTTTCTGCTTTTCTTTTACTTTTTGGTTTCTCTCAGATCTTTTTTTTTTGCATGTAACGCTTTTTATACTTGGGGAGAGAACTATAAATGGCATTTTTCTGGGGGGGACCATAGAAGATAGAAAAATCTAGTTATGCTTTTTCATTCTTCCCATTTTTAAATTACTAACAATATACTTAAATCTATGCATGAAAAAAAGAAAATGTCTAGGGAGATTCTTTAGTAATAAAAAATATTTATCAAATCTAAAAGGGTAGAAATACTGCTTTATTGGATAAACTTACTTCCAAATTACTTTCATGTTTTTTAAGAAGTCCTAATGAGCATTCAAGAAGAAAACATATACTGCTTCCACAGGAATAAGGACAAATAAAATGGGGTTGACGCCTGCCACAAATGATATTTCCTAAAAGAAAAAATGTAATATTTAACCTTTCTTCTGTTGAGGCAAGGTAAGTTAACTGCATACATCATAAATAAGATTTTCTTACTTTACAAGAAGGGAGAACTGAGATCCTGTTTTTTGAATGCAAGTTAAATACAAAATACAAAATCCACTCTCTGACCAAGATGAGCGGAAAAAAAATTATCCTTCAACATTTCAATTCTCATGCAATGAAATCCAAAGGTCTGTTGAATCCACCTTTTCGATTCATGTACTGCCTGTGATGAGAAGAGAAAATTCATTGTTTATTTTTTTAATCCTATACTCTTCTTATTAAAAAAAAAAAACATGCTTCAGAGATTAAACCTATAAACCATCTTTATAATAGCAAAGTCTAGGGTAGAAACTATTCAAGGTAATTTAATGTGTATTTAGAGATTATTTTACTTTCAAAATAAACCAAAGACTTTCAGATTTCTTTTAACTCCAAATAGCAGTATGGAAGTTTAATTTTGAAATTATTTGAGAAGACTCTACGGACTTAAAAAAAATCAATTGAAAATCCTTATTTATTTTAGGTAATAAGAAACAGGTAATTTAGAAATAGAGGAGTTCCAAAACAGGCACCCATTAAGCCAATTCAATTGCACACTGTAATGATTCTCCCCATAAGACCTTATTTGAAGGTAATTTTACAAAAGATTGTCCAAAATGATTCTAGTACCTTAGCTTATAGCATTTTCAATCACATGATTCATAATCTAAATTAACTGGACTATTAATCTTTTATCAGTGATAAAGTTAGAGAGAAAGGCAATGTTTGAAAATATCTTGACTTTTTCATTAAGAATTCATGTATGGATTGGTTTGTTCCAAAACTGTGGTACAAATAAAATATGCCTATACGTAACAGAAGAATATATTTACAGTTGAAATCATTACGTAATCAATCTAGTTCAGGAGGGATCTATTTTATACCTAAATTATACTGAAATCAAAGCCCATAGACTTGAAATTATGCTTTTCTGAGGAAATTACTATCTATAGTCCTAAAATTTTTTTTTTTTTTTTTTTTGAGACGGAGTCTTGCTCTGTCGCCGGAGCTGGAGTGCAGTGGCCGGATCTCAGCTCACTGCAAGCTCCGCCTCCCGGGTTTACACCATTCTCCTGCCTCAGCCTCCCGAGTAGCTGGGACTACAGACACCAGCCACCTCGCCCGGCTAGCTTTTTGTATTTTTTAGTAGAGACGGGGTTTCACCGTGTTAGCCAGGATGGTCTCGAACTCCTGACCTCATGATCCGCCCGTCTCAGCCTCCCAAAGTGCCGGGATTACAGGCTTGAGCCACCGCGCCCAGCCAGTCCTAAAATATTTAAGCCAACTACCCTCTCTCTCTAATAGCTATTAGCTCACATGTAAAGGGGAAAACAATTTTAACACGCCAGAATATAAGCAATGAAGATAATATTTCATTCAAACAAGGAACTGTATGGAAAACTGCTACATTTCCTACAAACATGATTATCCCATAATAAAGTTCTAAGTACAAAACTGATTAGTTCAAACATAATAATGGGGGCCATGCATACCTGTACTTCCTCTTCTGAGAGACATTTATGGCATAGGCATTTACAGAGCCATCCACTTTCTTACCCTGAAGAAAAACAATAAACAAACAACAAACAAAAAACCAGGGAGGATACATTAAATCAGGATACATGAAAGCAGGCGTGGTGGCAGTGGCATGTACCTGTACTCCCAGCTACTTGGGGGCAGGCTAAGATGGGAGGATTGCTTGAATCCAGGAGTTTGGGACTGCAAGGAGCCATAATCACACCAATCCAATGCACCCCAGCCTGGGCAACTGAGCATGATCCAGTCTCAAAAAAGAAAAAAAAAAAAGAAGAAGAAAGAAGGAGGAAGGAAGAAAGAAGTGGGGGAGAAGGGGGGAGAAGGGGGGAGGAGGAAGAGAAAGAGAAGCAGCAGAAGAAGCGGCAGCAGCAGTGGAAGAAGCAGAAATAGCAGCAGCAGCAGAAGCAAGAGCAGCAGCAGCAGCAGCAGCAGAAGCAGCAGCAGCAGCACAAGCAGCAGCAGCAGAAGCAGAAGCAGCAGCAGCAGGAGCAGCAAGAGCAGCAGCAGCAGCGGAAGAAGAGGAAGAAGGAGGAGAAGGAAGGAGAATAAAGGAAGGAGGAGGAGGAAGAGAGTCCAATGAGGGAGAGATAATTTGCAGATCCTATGAACTCCCAAGCGGTACAACTCTCTGCTCACACTTTTACAATTGTACATAAGCAATTAATATTCAAACCAATAAACATTCACAGTGTATGTACTATGTGCAAGGCATGCTGAGAAAGTAGGGTAGCAGAATCTAATCTTTTCTGGTCAAAGAATACTTTGAAACCAGATAAAAGGTATAATCTCCAGAAAAACTCATATTTACACAAAATTTAACTTACAACCTTAGCTAATAATATTCTCATATCATGGCTGGAATGGTTGCTCTTGCAATTTTTTGTTCATTTTAAAAATTATTATTTTTTAGACACGGGGTCTCGCTGTCCCTAGGTTGGAGTGCAGTGGCGTGATCATAGCTCACTGCAGCCTCAAACTCCTGGGCTCAAGTGATCTTTCTGCCTCAGCTCCTGAGTAGCTGGGACTACAGGCACATGCCACCAATCTGGGCTAATTTTGAATTTTTTTTTCCTGTAGAGATGGGACCTCACTATGTTGCCCAGGCTGGTCTTGAACTCTTGGTCTCAAGCAATTCTCCTGCATTGGCCTTCCAAAGTACTGGAATCCCAGGCATGAACCATTGTGCCCAGCCCAATTTTGATCTTTAAATCAAGAATCAGAACAGAATAACAGACACAAATGCTAGGTTATGTGTCACTCCGTCTTGACCTTTCTGAATGTAGCACCCATTCTCTTTTTCACAAATTCTTATTCAGGTCTTCTAATCCAGTCAAATCAACTCCACATACCCACTTTCCCCCATGTTGTTCCTCATGCCTGAATTGCCTTCCCCGCCTCTAACTTGAACTATCTGGTTATTATCCATTGTTCAAGGCCCAATTCAAGCATTCCAGTTGCTAGGAAGTGCCATCTTCTCTAACTGCAGAAAAATGTTAACTGTGCTTTCCTCACAGTACCCTCTATTTTCTTTTCTTTTTCTTTTTTTTTTTTGAGATGGAGACCTGCTCTGTCACCAGGCTGGAGTGCAGTGGCATGATCTCGGTTCACTGCAAACTCCACCTCCCGGGTTCAAGCGATTCTCCTGCTCAGCCTACCGAGTAGCTGGGACTAAAGGCATGCGCCACCACACCCAGCTAATTTTTGTATTTTAAGTAGAGATGGGGTTTCACCATGTTGGCCAGGGTGGTCTTGATCTCTTGACCTCGTGATCCCACCCCGCCGCCTCCCAAAGTGCTGGGATTACAGGCATGAGCTACCACACCCAGCCCAGTACCTTCTATTTTCTACCCTATAAAACCATGATGTACATCATAAAGGTATTTTCCCTATGAGACTGCAAGCTTCTTGATGGAGGGATATGTCTGAGAGTCACCTTTGCATTCTTACATCCTAGGTAACTGCACTCCCAGGTATTCAGAAAATGACTTAGATGAGTATCATTAGTTAATGTCATGACACACACAAGTGACCCCCACCTCCTCCCTCTCCCATTACTACCTATGCAAGAGTAGCCTATCTGTGTAGTGTACTTAATTAGATATTGGTGTCAGGGCAAAAACTGATTCTGACCCACTGGCCAAAAGGCATATACAGATTAATATATATTTGAAGTGGGGCTAAAATAAATGTATTTGGTCTTACTTTTCTATACCTATTTTCATGTATTTTTTGGGGGGTGGAGGGTGAGTCCTCAACAAATTACTTGAGGTATATGATTTTGAACTCCCAGTAATAGGAAGTAAGCATGACTGAGAAACCGGTCTTGGGCACAAAAAAGTAAATGATGCTAACCTTTTTACAAAGTTCGATTCCTAAAGGTTAACTGATTTCTGGCAACTATTTGCAGAGTTGCATATTATTAGCTCTATCCTCATTTATTTACATGCTGGCATAGAAAATTATCCATTAATAAACAAAACCAAACTTTGAAACTTCCTAGAAGAATGTTATTGAAGTAATTGCAGTTTTAGCCATTATTTTCAATGGCAAAAACTGTAATTACTTTTGCACCAATCTAATAAAATGAAAGGGAGAAGCCAAGCACATTGCTATGAGGCTATAGTCCCAGCTACTTGGAAGGCTGAGGCAAGAGGATTTCTTGAGCCAAGGAGTTTGAGTACAGCCTGGGCAACACAGGAAGACTCCGTCTCTTCAAAAATAATAATAAAACAAATGGACTGAGGCAGGAGGATTTCTTGAGTTCATGAGTTCAAGACCAACCTAGGCAGCACAGCAAGACTCTATCTCTGCAAAAAATAAAAAAATTATCCTGGCGTGGTGGCATGTGCCTATATTCTCAGCTACTCCAGAGGCTAAGGCGGGGAAATTGCTTCAGCCCAGGAGGTCAGGCTGCAGTGAGCCATGATCATACCACTGTACTCCAGTACGGGTGACAAAACAAGAACCTGTCTAAAAAACTAAAAAACGAGGCTGGGCGCAGTGGCTCATGCCTGTAATCTTAGCACTTTGGGAGGCCAAGGCAGGTGGATCCCTTAAGGCCAGGAGTTTGAGACCAGCCTGGCCAACATGGCGAAATCTCATCTCTACTAAAAATACAAAAATTAGCCAGGCATGGTGGCAGGCACCTGTAATCCCAGAAACTTGGGAGGCCGAGGCAGGGGAATTGGTTGAACCTGGGAGGTGGAGGTAGCAGTGAGCTGAGATGGCGCCGCTACACTCCAGCCTGGATGACAGGGCGACACTCTGTCTCAAAAAAATAAAATAAAATAAAAAATAATAAAAATTAAAAAATGAAAATACAATCAAACAGAAAGGAAAATGGGTGACTACACTGGCATATGAAGAGGTCCCACAATAGATCAATGATGAAACATCACAAGATACGCATTACTTAAAAACACAAATGAGGCCGGGCGTGGTGGCTCAAGCCTGTAATCCCAGCACTTTGGGAGGCTGAGACGGGTGGATCACGAGGTCAGGAGATCGAGACCATCCTGGCTAACACGGTGAAACCCCGTCTCTACTAAAAAATACAAAAAACTAGCCGGGCGTGGTGGCGGCGCCTGTAGTCCCAGCTACTCGGGAGGCTGAGGCAGGAGGATGGTGTAAACCCGGGAGGCGGAGCTTGCAGTGAGCTGAGATCTGGCCACTGCACTCCAGCCTGGGCGACAGAGCCAGACTCCGTCTCAAAAAAAAAAAAAAAAAAAACACAAATGAGCTGACTTTATAACTGATAGCCATGAAGCCAACTGCATATAAACTAAATTAACATCCTTGTAGATGTCATTTTAAAAAACTGACATCAATTAGTGTGACGGTACTCCATAATTTTTATAAGATCTATGACTTTTCACCTAATTTTTCCCTTATAAGCAAACATCCTCAACACTGACTACATTTAAGTGATGGGTGGCACCACCCTTAGATCTGACTTTCAGGAACTTCAAATCTGACATCAAACAACAGGAAAACCAAAAAACAAAGAAAATAATTCCATTTTCTTTGGGGAAAAAGTTCCCTCCCCATTCTTCTAAAGACAATAAAACTATAGTTGCTTTACTTTTAATGTATTTTTATTCACCCAACATATATATTAATAAATTTTCATTTATAAAATACTCTTTGGAAAAACAAATAAGGATTTAAGGCATTCAAGGGAAAAAAAGCTGATAAATAAACTTCATTCAATTCCAAAACAGAGTTCACATAACCATTCCAAGAATGAGAGCTTGTTCTTAATTTCTCACCTCAAAACAGTCATGCCTCAGTACTCCTAAGTTACACACTGTCATTTTAAAACATGTGAGCCCTACACAGTCACATTAGTTAGAAAGAAACTCTTACAGCAACTGCGATTACCCCACTCCATTAGCAACTCAATGGAATACAAGACTTGGGAAAGTGGATTATTTTTGACAGTTTTTTCTCAAACATCTCTATTTCCATTTGCAAAACTAAATGGAAAGACTTAAAATTCTAGAAAAGAGATTTTGAAAAATATATTGTTTTTCTTTCCACACACCCTCCCTCTCTCCGTCTCCTCTCCTCTCCTCTTTCTTCTCTCTATACCTATCTCTCTCTTCCCCCATCTCTCTCTCTATGCTCTCCCTCCTCTACCTAATCCCTCCCTCTTTTTCCTCTTCCCTCATCTCTCTGCTATTATGAAGGCTAGACAGCATTCACTCCCCTATCCACCCTACTTCTAAGCTGTGAGACATGTATGCAGCTGCCCAGTGTCATCTCTATCTGGCAGCTGGATTTTGTTCTTCCATTTCCCAGCAGTTCCCCTTCCAGAAACTCTGTTCCGGGTTGACTGTATCACTCAGGGTCCCAGCCTGACACCTGAGAGGCATTACTAACTACTCACTCCCACATCCCCCAGCTCCTGAATCGTTCTCAACTCAGTTCAGGCCTTCATCATCTTTCACTTGCACAAATCAGCAGTTCTCCCTGCCTCCAATCTAACCCACCTCCCATCTGTCCTCCATGCTGCCCCCAGAGTTATTGTTCTAAAACACACATATAACCATGCCACTCCCTTATTTAAAAATCACTACTTCCTCTCCTCAACACCTAAAGAATCAACTCTGAATTCCTTAGCATGACTAAGGGCATCAAAAGCCCTCTGTGATTTGCCTCCTACCTCTATTTCTAGCCTAAGTCACTAGCCCATCAGCACTGCTTTATCCCTGGCAGAATTTGAAATTCCCACAATACACTGTGCTCCTTTACAGCTACATGGCATTTTCATGAGCTCTTCCCCTACCTGAAATAATCATCTTCCTCTTTTTGTCTGATCACTTCTACTTGCCCTTGAAGATCTAACTCAAACATCGTCCCTGGCAACCACTCCCCGAATTCCAATGGCGGTTCACTATTTCCTCCTCTGTATTCTCAAAGTCCTTCAAACAGATAGTTATTGTCTTATAATCAAACACATTTGTATAAATGGAAAAGAACATAGAAAGACAGGACAGTCATAACAGATTAATTCAAATGAGAATGTTGCATGTTTTACTTACTTTTGTGGAGTCAAAGGAGGCAAATCCCATTAACTTCATCATTTCTATTTCTTCCTCTGTTTTGCCCTCTAAGTCTTCCTCTGCAAAAATGAATAATTTTGTGAACTCTCTATCATTTCATATATATACATAAACAAAAAGAGAGGTGGTAACAGATTAATAGTCATTCCACCTCACTAGCAGAGAATACACAAAACAATTAGCTGAAGATGAGTCTAATGAAAAAATTCCTCTTACATTTGGACAGAATGTAACATGGTACAAAGAAAAAGTCCTCTCCTTGAAGCCTTTAGACAGGATTACCTTTTTAAAAAAATCTGGGTTTCATATTAAGGACTACCTTTAATATCAGGCATGACACTATCTAGTTCTGAAGATACTTCCAAAATAGAATATTCTCATGTTTGTAACTACCCTTCTATATCGGGAGCACCACAGATAACCAGCAACTTGCTAGGATATAATTAAAATCTCACGCTGGGCACGATGGTTCACGCCTATAATCCCAGCACTTTGGGAGGCTGAGGCGGGAGGATCATCTGAGGTCAGGAGTTTGAGACCAGCCTGGCCAACATGGTGAGAACTCGTTTCTACTAAAAGTACAAAAATTAGCTGGCATAGTGGCGGGTGCCTGTAATCCCAACTACTCTGGGAGGCTGAGGCACGAGAATTGCTTGAACCCAGGAGGTGGCAGTTGCAGTGAGCCAAGATCGTGCCACTGCACTCCAGTCTGAGTGACAAGAATGAAACTCTATCTCAAAAAAAAAAAAACAAAAAAAAGCTCAAAACCATATGCAATGAACATTATAAAAGGCTTAACATTTAAATGTTCAAAATTAAACTTTTATAATTTTATCATCACTGTACTTTTACTACAGTTATTTATCTAATAACATTACCAGTAATCTGCCGTTCTTTGCTCTTTGTTTCTTTTGTTTCTTTCTTTTCCTCATCTCTTCTTTCTTTCAGTCGAGAAGGGGAAGGAGATGTGGATCTATGTCGTCTTGGAGATCTAACATTTACAAGTAAAGAGGTTAGAAACAGACATATCAACTTTGTATCAATCAGCACAGATATACATGAGCCGAGCTCCACAGAACAACCAGTCATTCCCTATAGCAAAGTGAGGAAAAAGGTTCTGCCAAGGCCTTGTTAACAAAAAAAATTTTAAATGTAGTTTACTGCTTAATTATCAGTTGCCTTCAGTACAGTTAGAGCTAGAAAGCGTTCTGGAAGGCAGAAAAATGTAAATCCAGCACTTTGGAAAGCCGAGGCAGGAGGATGGCTTGAGCCTAGGAATTCAAGACCAGCCTGGGCAACACAGGAGGACCCTCTCTCTCTCTCTCTCTCAAAAAAAACAAAAACAAAAACAAAAAAAGACTCAGAGCCCATTTCTGAAGTTCTTCCAAGATCATCCATTCTTGATTACATACTTGAATAAATCATTATCACCAAAAGTTAATAAAAAAGAAACAAAAGGCCGGGTGCAGTGGCTCACGTCTGTAATCCCAGCACTCTGGGAGGCCGAGGTGGGTGGATCACGAGGTCAGGAGATCAAGACCATTCTGGCTAACACGTTGAAACCCCGTCTCTACTAAAAATACAAAAAAAAAAAAAAAAAAAAAAAATAGCCAGGTGTGGTGGCACATGCCTGTAGTCCCCGCTACTCGGGAGGCTGAGGCAGGAGAATCGCTTGAACCAGGGGAGGCAGAGGTTGCAGTGAGCCGACACTGCGCCGCTGCACTCCAGCCTGGGTGAGGGAGTGAGACTCCGTCCCCCAAAAAAAAAAAGAAAGAAAGAAACAAAAATATAAAATACTTCTTCTTGCCAAGCACCATGCTCTGTGGTTTGCATGCATTATTTCTTTTTTTTTTTTTTTTTTTGAGACGGAGTCTCGCTGTGTCACCCAGGCTGGAGTGCAGTGGCCGGATCTCAGCTCACTGCAAGCTCCGCCTCCCGGGTTTACGCCATTCTCCGGCCTCAGCCTCCCGAGTAGCTGGGACTACAGGCGCCCGCCACCTCGCCTGGCTAGTTTTTTGTATTTTTTAGTAGAGACGGGGTTTCACCATGTTAGCCAGGATGGTCTCGATCTCCTGACCTCGTGATCCACCCGCCTCGGCCTCCCAAAGTGCTGGGATTACAGGCTTGAGCCACCGCGCCCGGCCATGCATGCATTATTTCTTATTTACTCCTCAAGACAATTTTGCGATGTAGAGTACTATTAGCCCCATTTAACCAAGCTGAATGTTAGCTTTAGAATACGGTTGGATTAAGTTTCCTCCATTTCAGGAAACTGTAAATCCCCTTATAAGCGATCAAAAAAAAGTTAAGAGCAGGGACCAGTTTCTTAGGGACTTTCGGTAAATCAAGCTCTTGGCTTATTTTCTACCCTTACCGGGAGCGTCTTCGGTGCGGGGATCGCGAACGGCTCCTTCTCCGATCTCTCTCCCGAGACCTGGACCTTTCTCGGCGCCTGCGTTCTCTCTCCCGGGATGTGGACCGGGAACGCCTACGTTCTAATGGAATCGCACACAAATTGCATAACTGAAAATTACCTCAAATATCTAGAGCTGCGCCGTCCAGTAGAAAAATAATGCAAACCATTACTAGTCACATTAAAAAGGTAAAAAGAGGCCAGTGGCTCACGCCTTTAATCCCAGCACTTTGCGAGGCCCAGGCGGGCGGATCACAAGGTCAGGAGTTCGAGACCAGCCTGGCCAACACGGCGAAACCCCGTCTCTAATAAAAATACAAAAATTAGCCAGGTGTGGTGGCACGGACGGGTAATCCCAGCTACTAGGAAGGCTGAGGCAGAAGAATCGCTTGACCCCGGAAGGTGGAGGTTGCAGTGAGCTGAGATCGGCCACTGCACTTCAGCCTGGGCGGGCGAAAGAGCGAGACTCTGTCTCATTAAAAGTAAATAAATTGATTAAAAAGAAAAAAACCAACGAATCAGGGGCAGAACCGAGGGTCTAAGTTAGATCTCCTGATGGAAGTCCAGCTTTCTTTACATCGCGCTGCCTCATTAATGGGGCTGGGAGTCAGAAAACATTACGAAGTGAGCTCCCAGGACTCAAAATTCTTAATATCGATTTCCCTGTAATGACTTGGGCAGGAATCTAACATTTATTAAGTATTTAAGAACTAGGCAGAATCACATACTGTGTGTTATGGGATGTGACATTAATTATCACATCAGTTTTTAAAAGTTGGCAATAGTACCCTCAAAAAGGCTGAGTAGTGACTTGCCCACCGTCGCCCAGAAATTCAGCAAAGGAACTGAGGCCTAATTCTAAACCCACCGGCCACAGTGTAATAAAGGTTATTGTATGAAGGTGACAAAGACTTAATGAAACTAATTCAGAGACACTGCCTTCAAACCGGAGAAGGTGGGCTGAAGAGGGAAGGGCCCAGGTCTACGTTCCTTTATCCACCCCTCGCTCTCCTCCTGGGGAAAAGAGCCCGCCTCTCTGCTACCCGGCTACCAAAAACAAAACAAAATAAAACAAAAGGGACGGGCCTCCAACAGAGCCCCACGTCCTCCGAAATGCTACAGGACTCACCCCTCCGTGGGGAGCGGCTACGACTGCGACCCATTTGGAGTCCCGCTTCCCGGAAACAACTGTGCAACAACTTCCGGGAGGGCCGGGAACCGAGGTTTTACCGCCGACCAGAAAACGTCAAAATGAGTCGCGAGGGTTCCGGTCTTCTTTTGTTCACGGTGGGCATTAAAACATGCGATTTGGTATTACTATAGAAATTCCTGGAAAATTCAGCCGTATACTCATTATCCTAACACATCTTTCATTTTTTTCCCCCCATTTTTGTCCACATGCACAAAATACAGCAAACCAATTGTAAACAGCAAACAGCTTGTTTTTCCACATAACATTTATAAGCAGTGAATATACCAAAGTTCACCTTTTTTTTTTTTTTGAGACAGAGTGTCTCTCTGTCGCCCAGGCTGGAGTGCAGTGGCGCGATCTCCGCTCACTGCAAGCTCCGCCTCCCGGGTTCACGCCATTCTCCTGCCTCAGCCTCCGGAGTAGCTGGGACTACAGGCGCCCGCTACCACGCCCGGCTAATTTTTTTGTATTTTTAGTACAGACGGGGTTTCACCGTGTTAGCCAGGATGGTCTCGATCTCCTGACCTCGTGAATCGCCCGCCTTGGCCTCCTAAAGTGCTGGGATTACAGGTGTGAGCCACTGCGCCCAGCCCCCGTCCATCTGCTTTATATTTTCTCATGCCAGCATTGAGAAGGCACCCAAAACCTCCTACGGGCTCTTGGAAGGAAAACTAAAGGCCCCAAATTCCATCCTACCCTACAGAGTACTTCCCCGAAGTTGCCTCTGTCCTCACGGAAAACAACAACAACGACAAAAACTTTAGAATGTTCAAAACTACAAAAATTAGGAGAAAGACTATCTTGCCCCAAGGCTGAACCATCTGTGATAGAGCATAAATAAGCTTACCAGGAAAGACTCAAACCTCTTTATTTTATTTTATTTTATTTTATTTTGTTCCAGGGTTCATTTGCAGGATGTGCAGTTTTGTTACATAGGTAAACGTGTGCCAAGGTGGTTTGCTACACCTACCAACCCATTAAGCCCTGCATCTATTAAGCTATTCTTCCCAATGCTCTCCCTCCCCCCAGCTCCTCCCCCTACAGGCCCCAGTGTGTGTTGTTCCCCTCCCTGTGCCCATGTGTTCTCATTGTTCAGCTCCTACTTATAAGTGAGAACACGCAGTATTTGGTTTTCTGTTTCTGTGTTAGTTTGCTGAAGATAATGGCTTCCAGTTCCATCCATGTCCCTGCAAAGGACATTATCTCGTTCCTTTTTATGGCTGTATAGTATTCTATGGTGTATATGTACCACATTTTTAAAATCCAGTCTATCATTGACGGTCATTTGGGTGGTTTCTATGTCTTTGCTATTGTGAATAGTACTGTAATGAACATATGCGTGCATGTATCTTTGTAATAAAATGATTTATATTCCTCTGGGTATGTACCCAGTAATGGGATTGCTGGGTCAAATGGTATTTCTGGTGTTCGGTCTTTGAGGATTCACCACATTGTCTTCCACAATGGTTGAACTAATTTACATTCCCACCAACAGTGTAAAAGTGTTGAACCTCTATTTCTAATCAAACCAACTCTTTTCAGTCAGTTCTCTCCAGAATTATCAAATCTAGTGACCTGGCTTTTAAAATACAAAGAGCTGGGAGATGGAAATGGACTTTATTAGGTTAGAAAAAATGCCCACCAATCACATACATTTTTAGTTAGATTTGTACATTCAGAGTGACCTCTTTAATACCTATTCCAACCCAGACTTCCAGGAAAGATCCAGCCATGACATGTAGGATTTCTACCACCAGCCCCGACCCCCAGACTCTTTTGGAATTACCCTGGCAAAGCATGCACTAGGTGTAGAATGGGGAGGTTCAAGGGAGGCGCAGGCCCCAGGGAAGAAGATTTAGGGACATCATTGGAGAAACACACCACTAATGATAGCTGGGCGTGGTGGTACACGCCTGTAATCCCAGCTACTTGGGAGGCTGAGGCTGGAGAATTGCTGGAACCTGGGAGGCTGAGGTTGCAGTGAGCTGAGATTACGCCACTGCACTCCAGCCTGGGTGACACAGTGGGACTCCATCTCAAAAAAAATAAATAAATAAATAAAATAAAATAAAATAAAAAGAGAGAGAGAGAGAGAGAGAAAGAAGAAATACACCACTAACGATTGAAGAAATTGTCCACAGGGAAGACAGGATTTATGGGAAACCTAAGGGGGTATGTACCAGATGTGTAAGAGAGGAAGAACATGGTGGCCTCAGGTGGTGGCTGAAAGCACTCTTTCTCTTTCTCCTTGTCCCCTCAGGGGTGGGGTCTCATCTGATGAAAATGCTTTTTAAGAAACCCCTCTAGGACTAAAAATGATTGGAAGGTATGCTGGGGATCAGTTGAATACACAAAGAGTTTTTGAATGCATAAGATGCACAGGACACTCTACCACTTTGGCACTAGGATGAAAAGATGAGTAAGACATAGTCCCTGCCTCAAGGAGCTTGCACTCTAGCTGTGGAGGCAGACAGAGGAGACACATCTTCACTATAATGTGGTAAGATAAAATATGCACAGTGTGCTATGGTGACATGAAAGAAGGCTTTTCAGCCTAATTTGTCCAAGAGGGTTTCCTGGAATAATAATAATACTAGCTAATACGTACTGTGCTAATTATATTCCAGGCACTGTTATAAAAAGGTTTATGTACACACACATTCACACACACACAATTAGTTGAGCTGTGAGACTCAAAAGAGTACATTGTCCAGGTAAAGAGTGGGAGTAGCAGCAATAGAAAAGGCACAGAGATGTGTCACACTATGACATACACAAGCACTAAAAGAGGTTTGATATTATCATCACTTTGAGTTCACCATGGCAGACCTTACTAAGTACCTGGGACTTTATCCTTATGGTTACAAGAGGCCACTGGAGCATTTCAGGCTGGGGAGTGACCTGACCAGATTTGCATTTTAGATGATTCATCTGGATCTAAAGACCTGAGCCAGAAAGAACAAGTGGAGGGAATAAGGGGTTGCACTAAGGCAATGATGGAAGAGAATGAGAAAGAACATAGGAGACATTTGAGGAATAGCATGGCAGGTCTTGGAGACTGGTTAGATCCAGGCAGTGGGAAGAGAGAGAAGAAATGACTTCCAGGCAGGGCCAACTTTACAGGCATGGGACCTGTGTAGTCATACAGGGTCCTGGGCATAGAAGGGCTTAATACTCAGCTTTTGCTACTCTTGAAATTCCTGCTAATCTTTGAACAAGAGGTTCTGCATTTCCATTTTGCACTGGGCCTAGCAAAAAGTGTGTATCTCATAGTGATGTCTACTAAAGTGAGAAAAATCACAATTTGTCAGTTTACTACTTAACTGAGACACAATGGTGAGTCCATGGGGGAGACGGTGGAGAAGGCAGTAAAAGGGACATCCCTTTTTTATGTGAGACGCCCTCTGTCAGTGATTAGTATGGGCCCTTCCCTGCCCCTAGATCCCCCCATATCCATTCAGGGGAATTCCTTTTGTACATGTTTGCTCCACAGTGTGAGAACCTAGTTACACTTCTGCTTTTGGTGAGAGGAAGAACATGAATTTCATTTTAGAAGATTATTAAGTGTGATGGACTTGAGGAACATCCAGATAGATATATTTTTGGTAGGCATCTGACCAGCTACAGACTGAGTCTGATAATTACGGGGAGCAATCAGGGCTAAAGATAGAGATGGAGGGGATGGGCGCGGTGGCTCATGCCTGTAATCCTAGCACTTTCGGAGGCTGAGGCGGGTGGATCATGAGGTCAGGAGATCGAGACCATCCTGGCTAACACGGGGAAAGCCCGTCTCTACTGATAATACAAAAAATCAGCCGGGCGTGATGGTGGGAGCCTGTAGTCCCAGCTACTCGGGAGGCTGAGGCAGGAGAATGGTATGAACTTGGGAGGCGGAGCTTGCACCAGTGAGCCGAGATCACACAACTGCACTCCAGCCTGGGCGACAGAGCAAGACTGTGTCAAGAAAAAAAAAAAAAAAAAAGATACAGATGGGGGAGTGATGAATCACAGAAGTCCATGAAATTGTCCCAGTGAGAAAAGTGTGCTAGGTGAGCAAAGGATGGCCCCCATGTGGGATTAAACAGAAAAGGAAAGGCCAACAAAGGAAGCCAAGATGAACTTGTCAGGTAGCAAAACAAGAGTACAGAACAATGTGCCAGAATTCAGAGGGGTGGAGTTTTGAGAAAGAATGAGAACAGTCAGTGTAGCAAGCTGAATAATGGCCACCCAAAGATACCTCGTTCTTTCCTCTGGAACCTGTGAATATTACCTTCTATGGGAAAATGTTTACAGATGTGATTAAGAATATTGAGACAGGGAGATTATCCTGGATTATCCAGATAGAGCCTAAATGCCATCACTAATGTCCTTATAAGGCACAGGCAGAGGAATGTTTGATACATACACGAGAGAAGGAGGCAATGTAACCACAGAGGCAGAGATTGGGTGGTGCAGCCACAAGCCAAGGAATGCTGGCAGATTTTTCTCTAGAAACTCCAAAGGGAGCACACCCCTACTACACTTTGTAGTAGGGTTTGGCCCGGTAAAACTGGTTTTGGATTTCTGGCCTCTAGAATGGTAAGAGAATAAACTTCTGTTGTTTGAAGTCATCAGGTCTGTGGTAATTGGTTGCAGTAGCCTCAGGAAACTAATACCATCAGCTATGTCAAATGCAGCAGAGAATCCTTTAAAACAGGGGTCCCCAGTTCCCAGGTCATGGACCAGTATGGGTCTGTGGCCTGTTAGGAATTGGGCCACACAGCAGGAGGTGAGCAGCTGGTGAGCCAGCATTACTCCCTGAGCTCTGCCTCCTGTCAGATCAGCGAGGCACTAGCTTCTCATAGGAGCGCGAACCCTACTGTGAATTGCACATGGGAGGGATCTAGGTTGCATGCTCCTTATGAGAATCTAACTAATACCTGATGATCTGAGGTTGACAGTTTCATCCCAAAACCATCCCCTGCCCTGTCCTGTGGAAAAACTGTCTCCCACAAAACTGGTCCCTGGTGCCAAAAAGGCCGGGGACTTCTGCTTTAAAATAAGAACTGAAAACTG